CATGAGTAGATGTGTAGATCTTGAGGCGACCGGCTCAACTGACTGGCGTCTGGTGGGACGGTTGCGTGACCGGCCACGGAAATCTCCAAAGCATCCTGTTCTCTATCCAGACTATCTTGGGTGGAATTTTATATTGATGATCACCCAAACGCGGTAATCTTCGCGATATCTGCTAAATGTTTAGCTTGAGCTAGCTTTCAGACGAGATCGCTGGCCTGCTCTGAAGCGTTTGATCGGATAGAAAACGACAGGTGACTGTCTTCTTCCTCAGCAGTCAGCATGCATGTAAGATCATGACTGTCTTTTGAGCCTTCAAACTTCCCTTTTCACTTACTCATGATTCCACTTCATGCCTCTCCGTGGGAAGTCCGCCGGTGCTGACCGAGGCTCAGGAAGAGAAAACCGATTGAGGGGAACTGGACATATGAGCCGAGCTGTACGCCGCAAGAGGAAGGCCATCTTACTGGAGAAAGACATGCCTCTGAGAAGATTAGAAGATGCGCTGATATGAGTTGAGGAGATGAACGAGACAAGGGGAATGAAAGAGAAGGAAGGAAATCATGAAAGTCAGTCGCCTCCAATGCCTCAAAAAACTGGGAGGGCTATATAAGTATCTTCTTCTACGACGCGTATATAGAGCATCCGTGCACGTTGAGAGCCATTAAAGACAGCATACATTCGGAATCCATCCAGTTGGAGGTAGAGGACGAGGTCCCTTCGGATGTCGTCAAAGTATCACAATCTGCCAGACATCGTACGCTACATTGATTCAAGCGAAAGCAGCTAAGTGAACTAGGACACGGCAGCGGATGTATTCGAGACCGCCGATGAGCCTGAGCAGATCCTGCGACCGGTCAGTACAAGACCCCGTGCATAGCGTGAAGCCGGGCTAATGGATGGTGCAGAGCGAAAACATACTTGGTGACGAAGAGGGTCCAGTGAAGGTCGTCAGCGAGAACATCGATTCATCGACTCTTCCTGGCCGACGCAAGATCGATAAGGTCTTTGGAAGAAGAACGAGGAAGCACGGTGAGTTGCCAGGTGATTGGATGTCTCTCAGCCAGCTGAACTGCTCCATTCAGACTCGTCATATCCAAGCTTTCGTCCTCGGCTACCACCTCTATCTCGTCATGCGTCAACATCAGAATCTGACTCTGATTCAAGTTCTCCATCACTCCCCCCGACTGCAAGGCTTCGTGAAACGCCGGCTGCACGACTGAAACGGTTAAAGCTGGAACTGGAGGAAGTGGAGATGGAGATCCAAGCTGGACCATCGACGCTTCCTCCACAGTCCAATGAGGCGAAACGGAAGTCTGTCTTACCGAAAAAGGAGCCGGTGGATCTCATGGGCGAGCTAGTTGGATTGCGAGAACGGTTGGAGGGAGTCAGACTCGACGGGGTCACCGTGCATAATGGAGTAATAGAAGGTGGAGATCTAAGGGAAAAGCTGGATCAGCTGGGTGCAAGACGGATCGGGCAAGGAGAGGCGGGGAAGGACGCAGATGTCACGAGGGAAGCTGCAATAGCATCGGAACCACCAAAATCCGGTCAGCTGTCGGATATTGATACTCGTCTAGCGCAATTGGAAGCCCTCATAGGACCGTCAGAGAGGTCCAGTGACTCTGTGAGTCCGGCAGCCGTTCCTATGGATGGTCTGACTAACGAGATGAATTTAGGCGCAACCTCCTCTCCTCTCAGCACTCGGAAAGCTCGACCACCTCCTATCCCTCCTGACACAACCGCGCCATCTGGACGCTATATCCCGGCGACTTAAACTCCTCCTTGTTGACCTGGATCGTGCAGCCGCTGCTTCACGACGCCCGGCTGGTTCTGCCAACCTCTCCTCGGTGAATCCACCACCTGGCGGAGAGAAACCTGCCAGTGGAACACTCTCTCAAGCGGATCATGCCAACCTCCAATCCCTCTTTGCGCTTCTTCCTAGGCTCGATCCACTGATACCTATTGTACCACCTTTATTGGCAAGACTTAGGAGCCTAGCAATACTGCATACCGAGGCTGGCGCAATAGTGGACGACCTGAAGACTACACGGGCAGAGGAGAAGAGGGAAGCTGAGGAAATCAAGGAATTGCAGGAGGTAGTTGAGAGAGTCGACACAGGTCTGTCGGAAGCAGCTAAGGCGATCAAACGGAACTGGGAGGGTCTGGAGGAAAGGTTGTCTGGATTGGAAGAGAGGATCAAGGCTCTGAAGGCGTGACAGAAGTTATGATCACAGCGCAGGGAAGAAAGCATCATCATAACCTTTGATACCCGATTTGTAAATATCATGCACTTAATACACCTTCACCAGGGCGGCGTTGCATTAAAGCAATCGTATCATCAGTGAAAACATTGGGCCAACAGGAAGTCGCCACTACGTAACCGGCAGGCTCCGGCAGCTTTCACTTTCATCGACTCAACCCATGCTGGCAAGACTGCATGCATACATGATGACCGACTCGATTACGCCTATTGAGACTCGCCAGCCCCCTTGGTCATGACTTCAATGAGCTTTTCTCGCTTCTGACAATTCTCGAATTTGAAACTTGCAGCGAGCTTGTCGAGATCCTCAAACGACATGTCCTTGAGAGGTTCACAGAACCAGGGGTTTAAGTTATCTGAGATCCAGGTGTAGATAGTGCGTCGGAAGAGATGTTGTTTAAGCTGCCAGAATCCTTCATGAAATTAGATAAGAGTATATCAATACAAGAGGAGGGAGAGAGACTTACCGGGGTATTTGGGGATAGCTTCGGGGAATGTTTCGGTGATCCAGTCAAGTACTGGCTGGAAAGCCTTGGTCGTAGCGGTACTACCCACACTGTTAGCATGACGTTTTCTTACGGTAACACAGTCAAGGCAGCGTTCAACTCACTCATCAGTACCCCAGAACTCAAGGGCATGTTTTCTCTTCTTTTCGATCCTCTCTTTGAAAGTTGTATTCCAAGCGGAATCAGGCTTGGCATAGACCATTCCCTGAACGCCTACATCCTTGTACAACCAGATAGTCCAGCTGATCTTGTCCTCTCCATAGACCTTGAGCTGCTCAGAGAGCGCTCCATACCGCTTCTCGTTTATCGCTTCGAAGTCTGGACCCTCGGATGTTTCGGTAGCGTATACCACACCGAATTCGCCATTCCAGATCGGGCTGTTTGTCTTCTTGGAGAATTCAACTTTACGCTCATAGTCGTCTCGAACTTTTGCACGATTTTCGTCGGTGCCCTCAAAGTGCATACCAATAGGGAAACCGAACCTGACCTATCAGCATTTTTCTTGAACGCCTAGAGGATCCTAAAGAGAGGGGGAACATACATGGAGTAGTCGTGGCAAGAGAAGATAGAATTGGGGTAATCAAACCCAGCTTTGTCAAAGGAACGGAAATCGGCTCCAAAGGTGTTACCATCAAAGCAGAGGATATGGTCTGGGTCGATAGCACGGATAGCGTCTGCCAGTCGCTTGTAGAATGATAGAAGCCGTGCTGCACCTGGCGCTTCGTCGGTAGGCTCATTGAGCAGGTTATATCCAGCAACCCAAGGATGTCTTGCTTGTTAGCCTGCATCTAGGAGATCACTCACCCCTTGTAGTGCTTTGCGATGGCCTCCCAGATCCGCACTGTCCGATCTTGGAACTCCTTGTATTCCCATAGAAGAGCGACTGGAGTATTGTTGTCCCTGTTTGTCAGTCCAGAACTTCCGCAGAAACGTACGAGTGCCAGTCAAAGTTCTGTCCTCCTGGAGCGGCATGGAGATCGATAATGGTGTATATACCCTCAGCAGCGTTCTGCATGTCAGCTACAGCAGTGACGGGCAAAGCTTACAAGCTCAACGACTCGGTCGATCCACTTGAATCCCTCCTCCTTGATGACGTACGGGTCCAGGTCATCGTTCAGATGTCTGTAGTTGATGGCAAGACGTTGCATGTTGAGTCCCAACGAGGCAAACCATTTAGCATCCGGTGCATCATAGACTAAGTCGGTCTTAGTGACGATCGATGTAAGCGAAAGAAGGCGGACTTACAATACTCGTAGAACTTGTTCCAGAAAAAGTCGTACTTCTCCTGACCAAGCACCTTGAGCATTGCAGCTCTGTAGGCCTTCTCGTGACCCGGGTAACCATTTGTGAAATTCTCCCTAGACAAGTCGATCAGCTTTTTGCAATCCAATCGCCCGGCTGCACACTCACTGAAGGAGGTACGCCCCAAGACAAGCTCCACGAAGCGTAATCACGTTTTCATCGCCATCGACAATTTTATCGCCTTTGCATTTGAGTGGGACGCTTGGCATTTTGAAATACTCAATTTTGGGAGACTTTCAATAGGAGTACCAGGTCAGTATTATGTAGTGATTGTAATCTCACCGGCGTATAGTACAGCCGGTAGAAGGAAGGAAAAACACCTTTACTCCGGCCACCGGTGAAAAGGTGGGTGAAGGAAAAATGAAGTTGCTCGGTGGATTCTCGATAGATTATCGGTTTGGATTTCTTGGATTCTCTTCGAGACCTGAGTCATAGCCGACACCTGTCTCATCCTGTTTATTTTATTCACACAGCACTATCTACAGACTGTGCACCTGCTGGTGCGACAGGCGAAAAAGCGGATGAGACCTTGGATTATCGCTGCAGGATCGGCAATGATAAGCCGACAACATTGCTGTTTTTCCGGCCCGCATTTCCGGCTGTTCAGTCACATTTAGTAGCATGACTACCGAAGGGCAATATTGATCTGTCTGGCAAGTTCCACGGAAAAAGACTAACGCAGGGATTACTCTCAGGAGGTAATACAGGGACCCATGCTGTGTAGTAATACTGGAAACTAGGGACATATTGAAAACAAACAAAAACTGTTAGATGCGAAATATTCTACTCTGCGTCCTTTAACTCCCGGAGGTCTTCTGCTCGAAGGGTCCCGCCTCGCGTCCGGGATGTACCGGATCATATATAATAATATTCAATGGGATCGAAAACGAGACATACCGCATATTTTGCGAAAACAAAACAAAAGACCGTGCGGCGCTCTGAGGGACTCGAACCCTCCATCTCAAACAGGAGGCCGCGGGTTAACCCGAAGTTTGCATGTTAACCCCTACACTAAGAGCGCAACAACAAAGAACACCTCAGGGTTCCTCACGGTCGCAGTATTATATTGCTCAATCTTTGGACCATCCGCTCTCAGTCTTCCGCACGGTCATGGGCCTCTAGGATCACAAGATCTACGGCAAAGCCATGGGTACGTACTGATGGTAAACAATGCATCGTTTTTCTTTGGTGTATTTGGAAAAAGTAAACGCGAAGCCCCGTCGAGGGGTATCAGTTGACGAGGTCCGCGAATGGGGAATTTTGCGGGGGTTTCAGGTTTTGGTCGATCATATTTCTGTCTCACTCAGATGCCGCAAACTCGATCGTTGCCGAGTTGGTCACTCCTTCAAAGTAGTGTCCCTCCATCCGGTAACGTCGTTATGATAATGTAAATTCAGAGCCCACGCGACACGAACCTTCGCGTATCATACCGCATGCAAACAGACCATCCAGCCGAAGTCTTCGTCGGCCGTAATCGTGGAAGAGAGGCGCAAATTGGGCTGGAGGTGCGCGATTTGTCTTCTGCCTCGCCACTTGGATTGCGACGTTGCCCACTGGGTTCATCGTAAAAAATTCGATGGCCGCCACTAATGGCCAGAATAATCAAGGAGTGCAGCGCCCCACCGCCGTTCAGGCAGCGATATATATCGTACGAGATATGGAAGCAAAGCTACCACGAGCTGGGGAACGTTTCTCCGAAAAGCCCGATACTGTAAGGTGAACATGTGCAGGACATGTCTAAATACAGCACGTGCCGACACACATAGATGTAGGTGGTACATGCGGTGGCTTTCGATTGTTGCGTTCTGCATTCCCATACGTCGCTCGAAGGTGGTCGACGGGCAATATAGGACGACGACGGGTGCACTGAAACGTCATAGGAACCCAGCGCAGCACATGTAGCCGCCACATGTCGAGAGATTTCAGGAAGTGAGGAAATTGATGTGTAGGAACTTTGCCTAGTGGCTGTTCTGGACCTTGTGGGTTCAAAAGCGATGCAGAGACGGTCATAATAATGACGCCGATGATTGGTGATAATCATCTTGGCGAAGCAAAGAAGCAAAACACAAAAAGTCGGACCTGCGACGGCATTGTTGGCACATTACCTTAGATTCCCAGGCACGACAAGAAGGCACCAGGTCTGCACGGGACCTGCTTTCTCCTGAATGAGGTTAGCGTTGTTTCACTCAAGATGCTGCTCTCGCCGTCTTCAACTGATGTCGGCGTTATATCGACTCTAGTAAGTGTGCCGTGGCACTCAGACTAAGAATGGGCACCGGACCTGACTCGGAGTCAGATCTCTGCAACCCGTGCGGCGCTCGCGACTCGACACGGGACATGGGTCTGCTCAGTATGAGGCATAGCAAGATCAGTCACGAGTCATTACAAGTGAAAGTCAAAAAGATGGTTCGTATGAATGGGTTCGTCCGTTGGGGCTCGGCGAGCGTCATCAGGATGACACATGAGGCCGACTGGAAATGATTAGATATGCCCCGTTGGGAACGTGAAACGTGCAAAGCGTCGCCGCCACTGATTTACGACGCCACCGCAAGCTGTCGATCGTAACAAATGACGGGCCACGGTACCCAACACAAACTTTCGCAAAGTTTTAGCCCTGGCCATTGGGACTTATTACCTTTTTATGTGTGCGGATTGTTTTCTATTCACGCGATGCTTTGCGTGCTCCCGCTCCACTGCTGCGGCGGCGGCGCGCCGGAGAATAGGAATTTCAAGGTTATGAGGGCCCTGCCCGGCCGGGTCGGTCGGATTTTGCAGGAAATCCAATTCAATACGAGGACTTCATGGGCGCCTGGGCTTGATGCTGCCGACCGGCTTTTGGGGGATTCGTACACCATGAGGTGGGGGCGGCGCAGCGGGTGTCAGGACATTCGGCCTCAAAACTTACAGAGGTCCTGAACACGCTGCTGGTTTCTTGCGCCTCGTTCATCATCGACGACTGCATGATCCCCGTTTTTCTTCTTCTCTGTTCCTTGGCTTGATCTTCGGCTCTTTCAAAGCTTCCAGCGCAAGGTTTCCCTTTCTACATCCCCACCACGGGACCGCGACCATCCGGGTTCCTCCGGGGATTTTTGTATATAACTTTTTCTTGAACGGTGATCGACAGGTTTCCTTCCCCGTGCGAAACAACCCGCCATACCAATACCCTCTTCTCCCCCCGAATCGTACTTAATAAGACACTAGTCTGCATCTTGACTCCCCGAAACCGTCTCAAACCTCCTACTTTACTGTCACCGATCTATTGTTCATAAACAAACCTCGCGTCAATATGAAGTTTATCGCCCTCGTTGCTGCTGCTGTCGCCGCCAGCGTTGTTGTCGCTGCACCAGTTCCGGAGCCTTCCGTCAAGGACGCTTGCTTTGGCCCCAGCTGTACGTTTCCTTGTCTTGCCTGATCAAGAGGCCCTGAGTGATGCATCCCGCTGACTCTCGTGATAGGCGGCTCATACCCATGGAAGCGTGAAGCTGCCCCAGCACCTGAGCCTTCTGTGAAGGCCTCTTGCTTCGGCCCCAGCTGTAAGCTTCCTCGCTTCTCGTCTTGTTTCACCCAATGCCCTGCAATCTATCAAGCTGATTTCATGACATAGGCGGATCCTACCCATGGAAACGTGAAGCTGAGGCCGCTCCTGCCGCAGAGGCTGAGCCTTCTGTCAAGGCCTCTTGCTTTGGCCCCAGCTGTGAGTTTTCTCCATTGCCACCCTTCATTTGTGCTTTACCCGTCAACAAGGCTGATAATGAAAAGGCGGCTCGTACCCGTGGAAGCGCGAAGCTGAGGCTGAGGCTGCTCCTGAGGCTGAACCCTCTGTCAAGGCCTCATGTTTCGGTCCTAGCTGTACGTCATTTTCACGCACACACATCGCCGTTATCATTACCCATCATTACAATCGAGACTGATTTCTTTTCAGGTGGATCTTACCCCTGGAAACGTGAAGCAGAGGCTGAGGCCGCACCCGAGGCCGAGCCTTCTGTCAAGGCCTCGTGCTTTGGTCCAAGCTGTTCGTTTCTTCTATTTGTTTTCAATCGATTAAAGTCTGACTTGAAACAGGTGGATCTTACCCATGGAAGCGCGAGGCTGAGGCCGCTCCTGCACCCGAACCCAGCGTGAAAGCGGCCTGCTTCGGTCCCAGCTGTAAGCCGTATTCTTCAAAACATCACCTCAAAACCCCACGCTGACAGGTGTGATAGGCGGCTCGTATCCTTGGGCATAATACTTTTGATGCTCTCGGGCGTATTTAAACCTACTCCCCAGATAAAATATGTTGTCCCAACGTTTTTACCCCCTCTCCCTTCACTATTTCCTCCTCAGTTGTTCTCCAGTCCTCCTTCTCTAGGAACTATTCCATACTACCCACCGAAACATCTATTGTGTTCTCGATGCCCTTCTAGACAAATATTGATATTGACTCTTTCGTAAACTCAGCATGCATACAAAACATACTGTATCCTCTGATAGTCATAAGACTCGACGAGTGGATTATCCACATTCAGTGTGCAGACCACACACATACCGAGGAAGGTAAGAATCGATCAAACGAGATCTGGCGATCCGTGACACCCTGGGTGAATATCAATCAGATGTTATACAATGAAAGGTCGTTCCGCAGCTCGTTCACAGCGCCGAGTAGCCAGATGGTGTAGAGAAAACGCTCAGACAAACAAACAATCAATCGATCGATCAAACCATCCATCACTCCATTGCATGTGCGCAGGGCTCATCAAAGGAGATAACTTCAATATCTCATTATCTTGATTGACGAAAAGGTGATGCACATGCAATACAACAACAGCAACAACACTCGACATTTACCTAACGTGATAGCCCCCATGCTATATCTCTGCGCTAGCATCTTCCAGTCCCAATCCCGCTCCTACTCCACTGCCCAGAAAATCAAAAGCATCACCGAAACCCATATCGAACGGCCAGTCGGCAAAGAGATCGTCCGGAAGCTGGAACTGTACCGCTGGGGAAAGGTTTGCTGACGGAGCCCATATTGCTAATGGTGGGGTTTGTGGTATCTGTCCCAACGCCGGATCAGAATTCACCAAGAAACTCAAGTTTTGAGGTAAGACCGGAGGATACTAGCATTGTCAGCCCATGTACCTAACTGTGTATACCATCTCACTGAAGAAGGAAAAAAAAAAGAAAACACCCACAGCTGCATCTCGCTCATAACTTGTACTTGCGCCTACCCATGTCCGCTCTTGAGCCGCTTCTGTCATATACCTATCAATGCGGTGGACGTGACTACGCAGTTTGACCGCGATTCCAGCGGCTGACGAGAGACACGATTCGAGCGAACCCAGTAGATCCGCCATCCCCAGCAAGACTCCTCGGACTTGTAGGTACGTTTGATGCGAAAGCGGGGATTGGATCACAGAGCCAAGGAGGTGGCCAACGCCTGCTAGATGGTGTAGCTACTCTCGTCAGTGCCAACATGACTGGACACAACGAAACGGACCATGGGCGCAGATTCGGCCTGCACGTAAGACGTAGGCACGCGTGCGAATGCGTCGAGTAGTTCCCGTGCAATGGCACATCGCTGCTCTATTGACGCCTCACTACCAGCCATGACCATCTTCACTGTTTGAAGAGTGACGATGATGTTGGCCGCTGCTGCATCAGCTAAAGCTAGCTCACCACGACATACCCTCAAATCCAAAGCGATCAATCTCAACCACCCCGCACATTTCCCTAATGTCTTTGAACACCGACGGCAGTGCCGTATACAATTGCTGTACTGTTCCAAGGATCTCTTCGCTACTTGGTCCTTCCCCATTACGCCGCGTGAAAAGCGACGACACGGGTCCGCTAGGATCCTCATTGCTCCACAAACATCGAGCTCGCAGTCGTTCGACTGCATGCTCAAGGATTCGATATAGGTCCGTCGTAAAGTTCCAGCCACGCAAGAATGATACTGATTTGTATGGGTCGGGCGACATTGATGCTGGGGTATGAGGAGGGAGAGTAATGCTCGTTGGTGTAATGTCATCGTCCGACAGGACT